GCCAAGTGTTATCGAAGTGTGCCTCTAGAAGGATTATTACCTGGCCCCTAGACAGGTGTGAATATATCTGTTTCCCAAAGCTTGGACCAGCGTTGGGTATCTAATTTTTACTTGGTTTAATGGTTGTTAATTGGAACCATACTATACTTACAGTCTTTAATTTGTATTTCCCTAATTACTAAGGAAGTTGAGTCTTTTAAAAAATAAATATATTGTTTATTACTTGTTTATCCTGTTAGGTGCCTGCTCGATTCAAAGCAACAGACATTCTGAGTGCCCACTCTGTGCTAGGAGCTGTGTACAACCCTCAAAGGGGCAGTGACCTAATAAAAATGATCCTTTGGAATAGGGTGGGGGAACCAGGGTAGTATAGGAAATGTAAGAGTAGCTGTACTCCCTTGGTAGAAGCACAGTCCTGGCAAACTGCTTGGGGAAAGGCCTGTGGGTGGAAGACAAAGGGAAGGGTTGACTCTGCCTGAAAAAGATCAGGCTTTTGCAGGGTAAGTGACTTTAGAGCTAGGGCTGAATAAGATTTGTCCAGGTGAGAAAATGATGTGTGGGGAGAGGAGACAATATGAAGAGAGGTCAACAGGTTGAAAAGTCTGATAATATGGTGCTTGTGTGCTGATAATATGGGGCTGTGACTCTTCCATTATAGCTATGACATGGGATGCTGGAGCTGAGGAATGATGGGACATTGGCTGGAAAGGAAGAGTCAGGACTAACCTCAGGAATCTGACCTTGGTTCTGAAGAATTTTTGTTCTTTTTTTAAAAAAAGTATTTACTTATTTGGCTGCATTGGGTCTTGTTGCTACATGCAGTCTTTGTTGTGACACAGGAGCTTAGCTGCTTCACAGAATGTGGGATCTTAATTCCTCAACCAGGGATGGAACTCCTGTCCCCCACCCCCCCCAACACCCCCGCCTTAGAAGGTGGATTCTTAACCATTGGACCACCAGGGAAGTCTTGAATATTTTGTTCTTAAAGAGGAATGACAGGAGCTAATGTATGTTTTAGAAAGATGTTTCTGGTAGCTAAAGAATCTGCCTGCCAATGCAGGAGATGTGGATTTGATCCCTGGGTCAGGAAGATTCCCCGGAGAAGAAAATGGCAACCCACTCCAATATTCTTGCCTGGGAAATCCCATGGACAGGGGAGTCCAGCAGGCTATAATCCAGGGGGTCACAAAGAGTTGGACATGAATTTGCGACTAAACAGCAATTTTGGTAGTTAATAAGAGGTAGACATGTTCCTTGCGTTTATGGAGCTCAAGGACTAGTGGGGGAAACAGGTGTTAAACAAGAAATCATAATTATAAGCTCTCATTGAATGAAATGAGTCCCCATATGGGCCACTCTCTTCTTCGCTTCCCTGGTCGCTCAGATGGTAAAGCATCTGCCTGCAATGCAGGAAACCTGGGTTCAATCCCTAGGTTGGGAAGATTTGCTGGAGAAGGAATTGGCAACCCACTCCACTACCCTTGCCTGGAAAATCCAATGGACAGAGGAGCTTGGTAGGCTATAGTCCATGTGGTCTCAAAGGGTCGGACACGACTGAGTGACTTCAATTGAAAGAAAGAAATGCCATGCTATGAGAGTAGTTTATATGTAACAGGGATAGCAGACAAACTCCAAAGGTCAGGGAAGGTTTCCCATAGGAAATAATTTCTGGAGGTTTTTCTTCTTTTGCTCTTATACACACCTCTCCCTCAAGCCTCACCATTAAACTTAACAGATAAATGCAATGTAAAATATTTGAGAGAAACCCAGAACTGAATATACATATTCTGCATGCATTTGTAAACCTCTCCAAATGATTCACCCTGATTCCTTGTATCTAGTATTTCTTGTATCTAGTCCCCAGTATCCCTTCTTTTTAAAAAATGTTAAATTTCATTTTATTATTTACTCATTTATTTTATTTTGGCTGCACTGAGTCTTCATTGTGGTGCGCTAGCTTTCTCATTGCAGCACTTGGGCTTAGCTGCCATAAGGTATGTGGGATCTTAGATCCCTGACTAGGGATCAAACCTCATCCCGTGTGTTGGAAGGCAGATTCTTAACCACTGGACTATGAGAGAGCTCCAAACAGTATCCTTCCATTGATGTTATCTGACTTGTATACTGACCCCAACCTTGTGAGGCAGGCAGGCAAGTATGACTCTCAACATTTTATTGATGAAGAATGTGAGTCTCAGGTTAGGTAACTTGCCTAAAATCACGGGGGTAGTTAATAATGGACAGGCATTTTAATCCAGGTCTTGTAACACCTACGTAGAATTCTTTTCTTTTTTAAGAAGTTTCTTTTTTAATTAGTAAAGATCTCAACAGGTGGTCACACCTATGTTCCTTTTATTTTTTTTTAATTTAATTTTTTGGCTGCATGTGCAGCATATGGGTTCTTAGTTCCTAACCAGCCTGCTCTCCCTGCATTGGGAGTGCAGAGTCTTAACCACTGGCTTGTCAGGGAAGTCCGTAGGTAGAATTATTCTTGCAATGCTCATTCTTTTATTTGTTCATTAATCCATCAAATATGCACTGATCACCTTCTGAGTATCAGGCTATGTGTGAAGCAATCCAGAACCACAAAAGGTTTTAAGCAGGAAAGTAGCATGATCCAATTTAGGTTTTAGAACCTTATTTTGGATGAGAGGACAGAAGGAAGTGGTTTTCAAAGTATGGTTTGAGACCACACTGGGTCAGAGGGGTCTTCCAGATGGTGCTAGTGGTAAATAACTCACCTACCAATGCAGGAGATCTAAGAGATTAGGGTTTGATCCCTGGGTTGTGAAGCTCCCCTGGAGGAGGGTATGGCAACTTACTACTATTCTTGCTTGGAGAATCCCATTACACAGGAGCCTGGCAGTCTGTAGTCCATGGGGTTGCACAGAGTCAGACATGACTGAACTGATTTAGCATACATGCACGCACTGGGTCAGTGGCTCTGGGGTTGGTGATATGCCAGGTTTGGGTACTGTTTTTTTTTTTTTTTCCTCTAATGCAATAGAAAGTGCTATATTAGAGAAGGAAGTGTCAACTAATTATGAAGAGGTGCTGGCTGTAGTAACCAGGTGAGAGAGGACACAAGACAGAGACAAAGGGAAGTACTTGGAAGTCATTGAGCTAGTATGGCAGGACTTCCCACTCACCCTTGGCTCAGACCGTAGCTGAGAAGTGAAACTGGAATTCCTACCTAGGTCCTCTGGCTACAGAGCCCGTGGGCTTACTGCACATAACCATTTATAGCTACTTCACGATTTTTAATATTTTGTATTTATTTCTCTTAGCATTTGTTTTGCATATCTCCATCATGTCTCAAACTGACTTCAAGTCTTGTATTTCCCCCTTATTTTCATAAATTCTAGGACAGAAATAAGAGACAGATGAGTAAAGTCTTAAAGTTTTTTTAATGTTCATTTATTTGGGGCTGGGTACACAGGCGTGCTCGCTTCGGCAGCACATATACTAAAATTGGAACAATACAGAGAAGATTAGCACGGCCCCTGCACAAGGATGACACGCAAATTCGTGAAGTGTTCCATATTATTAGGGCATCAGAGGGCGGATACATTGAAACCATAATCACAGAAAACTAGCCAATCTGATCACATGGACCACAGCCTTGTCTAACTCAGTGAAACTAAGCCATGCCGTGTGGGGCCACCCAAGATGGACGGGTCATGGTGGAGAGGTCTGACAGAATGTGGTCCACTGGAGAAGGGAATGGCAAACCACTTCAGTATTCTTGCCTTGAGAACCCTATGAACAGTATGAAAAGGCAAAATGATAGGATAGTGAGAGAGGAACTCCCCAGGTTGGTAGGTGCCCAATATGAGATGGCTGGATGGCATCACCGACTCGATGGACTTGAGTTTGAGTAAACTCCGGAAGTTGGTGATGGACAGGGAGGCCTGGCATGCTGCGATTCATGGGGTCACAAAGAGTCGGACACGACTGAGCGACTGAACTGAACTGAACTGGGTACACAGGCAAGGAAAAAGTAGATTTGATTAGATAAGCACAGACTAGGAAAGAATCGCAGGATACTGAGAGATGCGCAGCACCTCCTCTTCTATAAACCCCTGGCAGTCTCCAGGAAGCCTGAAGACAATAATCCCAGAAGCCCAGAGGGTGATCCCACTTCCTTCCCAGGGTTATTACTGAGTATCAGGCTGGAACCGGCAGGAATTCAGGAAACTATAAAGAAACAACCAGCCTCAACAACCAACTCTCCAAACATCAACACCAACTACCTCAACAATAAAACTTGTTACAATTCATCTCCCTCCCACTTACAACTGCAGACCAGAAGGAAGCAGAGGGGACTACGGGAAGGGCTCTTTGCTGCCCCTTCCCCTGCCTGACCCATCGTCATCCCCAGCCTGGTTTTCCCAGGGTCTCGGGGAGGGGAGAAACAGACACCCTATCTCCGAATGGGGGCACCAGAGAAACGGAAGACACCTTCAATCTCTCCTCATAGCCAGATAGATCAGAACTGAAACCAACGGAGGCAAAGGTTATAGTTGGCAGTGCCAGGAGAAGCCTGTCACATCCCAGTAACTCCAAAACCACAGCGGCTAAACTAAGCAGGTCAGAGGCGAGGTGTTGCGCGAGAAAAATGATGGGAAGGTGGGCGTGGCGAAGGTGTAAGATAGTGGGAGGCTTCTGGGGCGTTTCCCTAAAGAATGACCAATCAGAGAGCGTCTTGCAGCCCAGGGGCGGGACAGGGGCGTATCTTTGTCGCGATTGGATGAAGGCCGGGAGCAGGGAGGGGGCCGCGGCGCGCCTAGGACAGCGGCTTTGCAATTTCGTGTTATATACTGCAGTGGCCGCGGCTGTGGAAGCCGGCTGGACTGCAGCGTACGTGCCTGCGTCTGAGGCTCTGGCTTGCCGCGGAGTTCCTTGGGTTCTGGGTCTAGTCAGTCCTGTCCCCAAGGTTCTCTCAATCCTCCGTCCCCTAGCTCTCGTCCAGCTCCCGACCTCAGCGTCTGCAGAACGAAATGGTCACAACCATGAATACCTCAGATGAAATAGAGCAGATGTTCCAGCCCTACAACTTCGAACTGTGCCGGGACATGAGGCCCTATTTGGAGGAGTACTGGTGAGACCTGTAGAAGCGGAAGGGCCATGTTAGGGGCCCAACTCTGAGGACCGCTATTTGGGGGTATTGGTGGTAATGGGGAGGGCGAGACAGAAAGCCCACAGAGATTTTGCTAAGGAACAAAGATATTGGATCCCCCAGTACTGGCTTCACGTCTCTGTTGTCCAAGGTACAGGTAGTGTGGCACCTCAAAGAGGTTAGGTATGGAAGAAAGGCAGAAATAAGAGGACGGGATGAAGAATTTGGGAGGAGACAGAAACCAACGGGGAAAAGGTGTAGTGAGAACTGGTCTCTGAAGAATGGGGTTGATCTGAACTCCTACTCCTTAGAGACGACTCTCCATCCTTTGTGGCTACATGTGTTCGCATGCGTGCATATGCTGATGCCTGAGGACTGCCCTTCACAGTTATCATCTTGTTCATCAAATGTTCCATCATCCCTGCTGGAGGAGGGAAAATCTGGGCACCCTTCCAAAATTTCCTCAGAATTTGCCCTAGAGCCCCTCAGAGCTCCAGCCAATTTGCTATGACCAACCAGGCAGAAGTTGTTGCCACATTCTTTGTACATCACAGCCTTGGGTTGCTTCTAGAAACGGACCAGCAGCTGTCACCCACTCCCAACCCCAGGAACCTTGGTTATAGCTGCTGCCCTGTGTAAAGTACTTTACATATATTAACACTGTCAGGAGAGGAGTGTTATTCCCCCCTTACAAATAAGGAAACTGATGCTCAGAGAAGGACGTAGGTTTTCCAATGTCACACAGCTAGTAAGTGGCAGAAGTAGGATTCCAATCCAGAGCACTGACCTGGAGATATGAGTGGACATTCCTCTAACCAGTTCCCACCCATAAGCCCATCTGCTCTGCCTCCTGCCTGCCAGGGCAACCTCATTCGCCATAGCTCTGATCTACCTGCTGGTCATATTCGTGGGGCAAAACTACATGAAGGCACGGAAGGGCTTCAACCTGCAGGGACCTCTCATCCTTTGGTCCTTCTGCCTTGCAGTCTTCAGGTAAGACTCTCCCCACTCCAACCTATCTTATAGACCCCAGACCCTCATTCTATCCCTAAAAGCTTTCTAAAAACCTCAATTGCATCAACTGCCCAAATTGCCCCCTAACTCTCCCTGTTCTGTTCTCTCAGCTCTGACTCCTCTCCCCAGGTTCCACTCTTCTGTTTTTCTTCTCCAGTTCCTAGACTAGTAGTCTCTGCTCTCTCTCATGAGACCTTTAGTGCTCATTGAGTCTGGATACTTCCAACAATTTCCCCAGCCTCTAATACTCTCTGCATATAACACTCTCTCCCAAGACCTTCCAATAACTTCCCCAGCCCCTTCTTCCCATATTCCCCCCAAACTCCTTTGATCACCCCCATCCTGCCACCTGTCTCCTTCCAGGCTCCTACCCATCCTATGAACCCTATTCCCTAGCTCAGTTTTCAATCTCATGCTCTAGCACTCCCTGGTCCCTCCCCAGCCCTCATGTCTTGTATCTTCTAGATTACTGGTGGCTCTACCAGGTTGGCCTTGGGAGCTCAGAAGCTATAACCCCTTTGGAAGGGTGGGGAGGTGGTGGAACTTGGATCAGTGACTTGACCAGACCAAGGGTGAAGGTGCCCGGGAATGACCCTTACACCCTTTTCCTTTGTTCCATTTCAGTATCCTCGGGACACTGAGGATGTGGGGCTACATGGGGACCCTGATGCTTAAGGGGAGCCCAAAGCAAACTGTATGCTTCTCCTCCTTCACCAACAGTCCCATAATCCAATTCTGGTCCTTCCTGTTTGTTCTCAGCAAGGTCGTTGAACTTGGTGAGTGGCAAGGCTTTGTCTCTCTGGTGTCCAGTCAATTGTATCCCTCTTCAGGCCCTCCCCTTGACCCGTCACATGGAGAGTTCCTTCCCCGCCCCTGGGTCCTAAAAACACTTCTCACCCTAGCCCCTCTTCAGATTCTCTGCCATAAAGACCCCTCTGCCTGTCCTGAAAATTCCCCATGTGCCCCCACATCAAGTTCAGAGGGTGGTCCCAACACTAGGTGATGTGTCAGCTATGGCTCCTCATCTCCCAGGAGACACAGCCTTCATCATCCTGCGGAAGCGGCCGCTCATCTTTGTGCACTGGTACCACCACAGCACGGTGCTGGTGTACTCCAGCTTCGGATACAAGGACAGGGTGGCTGCAGGCGGCTGGTTCATGACCATGAACTTTGGTGTACATGCCATCATGTACACCTACTACACTATGAAGGCTGCCAAAGTGAAGTGCCCCAGGTGGTTTCCCATGCTCGTCACCAGCCTGCAGATCCTGCAGATGTTTATAGGAGCCATTGTCGGTATTCTGGCTTACATCTGGAGACAGGAAAAGGGATGTCATACCACAAGAGAACACCTCTTCTGGTCCTTCATCTTGTATGCAACCTATTTCGTCCTCTTTGCCAAGTTCTTCCACCAAAACTACATTATGCCCAAGATCAAAGCCAAGACCAAGAGCCAGTGAACTGTTGGAGAAAGAGAAGAAACCCTAAGTCCTCTCTCCTCCCCAGGGGACTGAGGGACTGAGCTTAGGTTTGAGGGAATGATTAGGAAACCTTTCCTGTATGGTTTCCCCATGGGATGTAAACTCCAAGGTGGCAGGAGGTGATGACAGTCAAGTAGTTTCACCCCTGGGGTGGGGATGTGATCTGATTTAGTACTTTGATGTTTCTGTTGTTAATGTGAAGACCAAGCAGGCCCTGTGATGGGGTGGGACTAAGGAGGCTCCCCCGAACTGAGTTATTTATGTTTCCAGAAATCTTTCTCCTTCTTGCTCTGTTTGTTTGTTTGTTTGTTTTTTCCCCAGCACCGCCCGGCTCCGCGAGGAGGGCGGGACGAGGGCGGGAGGAGGGGGCTGCAGACAGACAGCTCCTCCCAGCGGCGCGGAGCCCAGCCCGATTGACCCTCTCGCCGCTCTGTTTTTTAATTAAAGATTCCAACAGGGTTTTCAGAGTTTGGGGATTTAGGGGAAGGAGGGGACTGCTGTGATGGAGGAGGGCTGCTGGCAGTGGGATGATCAGTGGGTGAGAAGCTTACAACAGTGTGTGGAAGGCTGAGAGTCACACACAGAGACACTCAAAAGAATCCTAGGCCTGGTAGGCACTTAATAAATGTCTGTTACAGACCAGAATTTTATTGCTGTTAGAGGCAAAAGCCCCTCGTAGGAACAGTGAGAAACAGATGCTCAAAGGTGGAGTAAGTTTCTAAAGTCGTAGGCTTCCTAAGTTGCAGAATTGACACTTGACTTCAAAGCTGACCTTCCAGTTATCCTCCATGAGACCACGAGGCGGCGCGGCAGTACCAGCTTTGTCCAAGCCACACACATCTACACAGACACGCACGCTTCGTGCGCCGCTTGGCTCCGGGAATCCCCAGGCTTCTCCATCCTGGGGTTGAAGCTCTAGAAGCCTGGACCCGCACATCTTTCCTGTAAACCCAGCTCTCCTTTAAAAATGGGGAAGGATGAGGGGAGGGAGCTCAACCGCAATTCTGAATCACCAGGCCTCTGACAGTCCGCGCACATTTATTTCATTTATCTTTGAAAACCAGGGAGAGGGATTCTGGAGAAGGCGAGGTGGGCCAAAGGTGAATTGGCCCCTGGGGAACTGGTCCCTGTTCCTGGCCCTAGTCCCAGGGTCTCGGACTAAGGGCCCAGTCCACCCCTCAAGCCTGGGAGTGGGGGCAGGCTCTCTCCTGAGCCGGCCGCCTCCCCAACCCCGACTGCCCAGCTCTCCTCTCAGACCCCGAGGGTGGGGGCAAGCCAGTCAAAACGACCCCAGTCCGTCGAGGTCGTGCATTACCGCCCCACCCTCAGGGATGATCGACGGGCAGCGCCCTTCAGACGGGCCGTTCCACAGCGTACTGGCACGGACTGAGGTTGGCGGCCGGCGGCGGCCCCGGCACGGTGGGATAGCTGAAAGAGGCGTGCTGTTTGGCCTTGAGCCTCAGGCTGGCCAAACTCGAGTTACACGGGTCCCGATATACGTAGGGGGAGGAGGCGGCTGCGGCGGCTGCGGCTGCGGCCGAGGCGTAAGGGCAGGACACGGCCCCCGAGGACACCGCGGCCGGAGCCAGCCCGGGGGGCCCCCCGCCTAGGCCCTGCAAAGCCCCGGGCCCAGGCACGGTGCCTGGGGCGGTCGCGGCCGAGGGCACCATGGAGGCGGAAATGGAGCTGGGTGGCGAGAAGACGGGCTGTGAAGCCAGAGGCCCCACGTTGACCGAGTTGAAGGCGAACGGGAAGGTCTTGGCGGCGAGCGGCGGGCCGAGGGCCTTGGGTGGCCAGTTGCCGTACGAGTAGCCTGGGTACACCTCCTCGTAGGGTGGCACCAGCCCCCCGAGCGGCGCCGCGAAGCCGCCCTTGCACAACTCCGCCTGCTGGCTGCGCTCGCGCTTTCTCCACTTGGCGCGCCGGTTCTTGAACCACACCTGCGGGCGTGGGAGGAAGGTCGTCAGGGCCCGGACCCCCAAGGCGGCTGGTGGACCGGTCGCCCAGGTGGGGGTCCAAGCGGGGTCCGGGGCCGGGCGGAATATAAAGGAGATGAGGTGACCGGAGACGAGAATGGGTGGTGGAGCAAGGGCACGGGCTGGGGGAGGAGCGCATGCGGGAGTCAGGGGTGACAGTATTGGGGAGGTGGCGAGGGCAGCAGGAAGGGGTCTAGGAGAGGTGAAGAGAAGAACCAGAGATAGTGCCAGGGGAGAAGAAGCGCTCCGTCTAGGTGAGAGGGTGGAGGAAGAGAAGAGATTGGAGGTTGACGGAAAGAAAGCCGTGGGGGCAGCGGGCCTGGGCGAGGGACGTCGGGTTTTGGGTCGGAGGAAGGGGCAGGCAGGGCAGAACTACAGGCTGCCGTTTCCGAAGCTGCTTGCTGAGCGGCCCGCTAGAGGGAGGCCCGAAGTGGAGGGAGGGTGGTGGTGGAGGGCACCTGCGGGGTTGCGTACCCGCACGCGGGCCTCGGTGAGGTTGGTCCACACGGCGATCTCTTCGCGCGTACTCATGTCGGGGTAGCGATTCCTCTGAAAGGTCGCCTCCAGCTCCTGCAGCTGCTGGCTGGTGAAGTGCGTGCGCTGCCGCCGCTGCTTCTTCTTCAGCGAGCCGTCTTCGGGGGAGCCGCCGGGCAGCGAAACCGAGGCCTTCTCCGAATCTGGGAGCCAGGGTGGGGGCTGTCACAGCATATCCTTGCCTGCGCGGATTCCCTGGCTGCAAGGACTTCCTGCGTGGGGCCCTCCCTCACTCGCACCCGGGCTCCCACTCCCGGGTCCCACCCGTTTAGGGATGGAGCTTTTATTTCCCCCACCCCCAGAAGGGGGCGCGCTCACCGCTGTGCTCTTGGCCCTTGCAGCCGTGTTCGGGGAGTGGGGGGTGGGGGGTGCCCGCATCTGACAGCGAGAGGGCCGGGCTCCTGGCCTCTGCCTCGCTCAGCAGGCCGAACTCCATCGGGGGCTCGAGAACTCTGAAGGTAAGAGAAGACCCAGACCAGGTTAATGGGAATAAAATCTCCAGGTTATCTGGTTCCCAGTACAGAAGTGTTTCCCCATCTTCCCCTTTCTCTGCCACCGACATAAAGCTACCTCTTTAATCTGAGATGCCCTAGGTTAGAATGGGGAAACAGCAGCCTAAGTGGAGAAAGGTGCATACTCAGAGGTTTCACACACAGTTATACACACTAGACTTTGATTTGTTCCATGCTGGGCACCTAGAACCCTGCCTGGCGCACAGTTGGTGTTCAATAGATAATCATTGAATTAATGAAAACCACACTATTGCACATTGCATACCACATACCACATTCTTTAAAAATTAAATTCCCTCTCACACGAATGCCCAATATCCTCATAAACTCAAACGTGCTTCTCAACCAGTCTGAACCTGTGTTATTCACTCTTCCGTGGGACGGATTTTATTTTGAACCAGGCCTGATACTTTCCCTGTAAGGAGAATCGGTGCTATCATTTATGAGTACTGACTATGTGCCTTCACCTCATTATCTCTCCTCACAAGAATGGATCAATGTTAGGTAGGATGACCCTTTTTTAGGCGTGGAAACTGAGACATGAAGTAATGATGAAGATCACAAAGTTTGTAAGTAGTGGAGGTATGATCTAAATCAGGTCTGTGAGATTCCTAAGATATGTTTTTGTTTGCTTTTTCAAACTGTGTTCTTTGGGGTCCCCCCTGCCCCGCAAACTCCCTCAGGGACTGGAACTCAGGGCTAACCTCAGGGATAGAAATCTAGCCTGATCTTACTCAGGTCAGCTTCAACTAGGACAGCCCTGCTTTTCTCTGTTTTATTTATGCTTTCTGGAGAGACTTCTTTTGAAGAAAGGGTTCTAGGTTCAAAAACAAGTTTAAGAATCTTGTCTGCTTCTGAACATTGCATCCCACAAGTCACCACTCTCTCCCATGCCCTCCTGCAGTCCCACCTCAGGCTGTGGGTGTAGGTTTCTTAAAAGCCACTTCTGACTATTACTCCCCATGCCAAATCTCACCTGACATTGCCCAGGAGCCTGTCTGGGTCCTCCTCCAAGTCTCCCCCTGCAGGGTCCCCTTTCCTGCTAGCTCTCCCAGGCCCCCTCTGGTGGGAGGAAGGGGAAGGGGCACTAGTGGGGCTCAAGACTCCAGATGCCTCTTGGTCAGAGGAGAACCAATGGAAGCTAAGGACCAAGGAGCAGGGGTGAAGAGCTATGTAGGAGGAGCCCGTCTGCCTCCCCATTAAGAGGAACTTAATGCAGGGTGTGCAAGGTGGCATTAATGTGGCGGATTAGCCTAGATAGAGATGTGTGTCACTTGGCTGCTCTGAATTGATTAGGAGCCTTTCTCAGAGAGGCGCAGATGGGCAGTGGCCTGTATTTGCACATGGTAATGCCCCCTTCAACCAGCTCAGACATGACAGCTGCCCCCCTCAAGCTAGTTTGAGTGGGACAGAGGTCAAGGCAAGAGGCTGAGAAACAGTCCCTGTTCTTTCCACAGGCAGAGAGGATTAGACCTTGGACACTTTCCTAGGGTTGGAGAAGCAGGGCTGAAGGGAACCCCAGGAAGGAAGGACAGAAGTCAGGCCAGGGATGGGAGTGCTCAGTTTCCCTCCCCTTCCAGGTCTGAGGACAGAGTCAGAGGCATAGGACTGGGCCGATGATGCTCCGATAGAAGGGAGAGGCCCTTGGGAGGGACCTGGAGCAGCCTAGACTAGTAGCTCTTCCCAAGTAGCTGTGGAGGCTTAGAACTGACAGGTGGAAAAAGGGGTGCCGTGAAATCTCTTCATACCCTAAGATGCCCTCAAAATTGCAAACCACACCCCTGACTTCTCCAGAGGCCCACAGGAGCAATGCAGAGCTGGGAAAAGAAGGACAGTTGGGTTTGCCTGTAGGAAAAGCTGAATTCCACCATTGCCATTCATCCTTCCAGTCTGCTTTGGCTCCAGACTTCCCATTTTCCAAACTCCCCCTTCCCCCAGCATTCCATACCTGTGTCTTGGTTTCACCCTTTATTTCAGCAGAGGGAGGCAGGGTGAGGAAAGATAAGGGCCAGAATAAAAGACGAGACTGAGAAAGCAGAGTTCAGGCTGTGTGTTCTCAAAGACAGACAGACACACATGCAGACAAATACAGGCCCCCACTCAGACAAAATAAGCACTTGGACTTGGAGCTGGAGGCATACAAACACACACTCTCTCCCACACATGTGCCCCCACATTCAGGCAGACAGACACACACCGTCACACAGTCTCCTCTCTCTGTGACAGGGACAGCTGCCTCGGCTGTTTTGGAGCTAGCCATTATCCCCCCCTCCCCCTTCCTGGCCCCTTTGAACCTCAGCTCTTAGTCCCAGGAACTAAGGACTCTGTGGGGGAGGAGGAAGCCCGAGGAGCCAGTGAAGTGGTCTAAGCTCAGTGGCTGCTGGGGACAGCCTATTTGGCTGAGTGGGGGGAAAGTATGAGAATGCTGGAAGAATAGGATGGGGTAGTGGTGGGGGCAGAAAGTGATAAGCCCCACCATCCCGCCCCGACCTGGCAAAGTAATCTGGTATACCCCAAAGAAACTAAGTTTAGATTCAAAAGATCTGAGTTCATGTCCTGGATCCTCAATTTACTAGCTGTGTGTCCTTGGCAAATTACCTCTCTGGGCATGTTTTTTTCATCTGTAAAAGTAAGATTATAATTCCTTCTCTACCCCTCTTCAGTATTGTGAAGAGGTTAAAATAAAACATAACATTTAAAAATGAGTAGGGGTCAAACTCTATCCAAGTTTTTTTTCTCACTTGTTGAAATGATGTTTGCACATCATTCTATTCATTCACCTTCTATGAGCTGGGCATTGAGTAAGGTGCTCAGGATAGAGTCAGAAATAAGGTATAGTTTTTGTCTTTGCCTTTGCTTGCTTCCCTAGATTCTGTTTCCCAGTGAAAAATTGCTCCGTGAATAAAGGTGAGTATGCTGCATTTTAGAGAGGGATGCACGTATGTGTTGTGAGCACTCTGTTTGAAACATAATAAAGGGCCCGGTCAATAAGGAAACAGCCACAAGGGTGGAGCAGCCCAAACTGGGAGCTAATTTGGGGACCCGGAATGGGTAGGAGAGGAAAGAATGAAGGCTTCAGACTCTTGACTGCATTAGTAATAGCAGCAAGAGGAAAGGTGGCTGAGAAGGGCCCTGCCTCTGAAGCTGAAAAGGCAGGAACACTAATGCCAGGCAGGCAACAGAGAGAGAGAGAGTGGGGGCAGAGGCCTCTAGCAGATTGTGTCCGGTGGGCTGGTCAGGCAGAGGCTGGGGGCGCCAAGCTGTTGTCAGCTGGAGACAGGCTGGCTGAGGATTAAGCCCCCCCAAACTGCTGGAGGTTGGGAAGCTGGGGAGTTGGGACTGCAGCCAGGGACTTCCCCTCACTCAATGGACAGGGATAAGCAGTAGGTCTAGAAGCCACAGGTTTGGTTGATGCTGGTAGGATATACCAGGAAAGACCAGAGACAGTCAAGAGATAACAGTGGCGCTGAGTCCAGCTTTTGGGGTGGGCCAGGAGGCCCACCCCAGCCTTTCTGACACGCCCTGCAGGGGATACATGGCCCAGCCCCACTGGTTTCAAGGTGGCAATCCCAGCCCTAGGGAGAATAGAGGGCTTGCAGGTGACCTTTGACTCTGAAATACAGCATGGAATTACAGGAAGCTGTCATGGACCACAGTAAGAACAAAATATCCAAGATAATTAAAGCGGAGAACAGAGACTGCCCCAGAGCAGAGAGGCTACAGTGGGGAGGCCATGGTTTCTAAGGGACACAACTTATGGCAAGAAGGTAACTTCCATGTGCACCCACTTTTGTCCTGAAGACAAAGGGTAGACCAGGGCCACAGCCAGAGAGCCCCCAAGGCAAGAAGGTAACTTCCATGTGCACCCACTTTTGTCCTGAAGACAAAGGGTAGACCAGGGCCACAGCCAGAGAGCCCCCAAGTAATTGTAAGTCCAGTGTCCAAGGCACAAGGTACACCCTGGAACTGAAATGGGAGAAAATATTTTTCTTGCAGAGACTGAATGAAAAGGAAGATAAGAGGGGATGGAGTTGTAAAGCTGTAGCTCAGCTCAGCCAGCAGTAAGTTAGTGAATAGGTATAAACTAGAGCCCTAAACAGGATGGAACCTGAAACTAAAAGTGAGGCCCTTAAGTGGACACAGCCTCATGTACATTAGGAATGCTGAGCATCCACACTGTCTGGTCTCCTGAGTTGCTGTGAGCAAATGAAAGCAAAGGAAGACAGCTGTGGACAAGGTTCACAGCCCCAAGAGGAAACCCTAAGACTCAGGTGGAGGCATCAGTGATTTGATGCACTTACTTTATCAAGGGGTAAATCAGGGATCGGGCTTCCCAGGTGGCTCAGTGGTAAAGAATCTGCCTGCCAAGCAGGAGATGCAGGTTTGATCCCTGGGTCAGGAAGATTCCTTGCAGAAGGAAATGGCAACCCACCCCAGTATTCTGGCCTGGGAAATCCCATGGACAGAGGAGATACCCAAGAACAATAAGGGTACAAGACCCTAACTTCTAAGAGCCTATGGTCTGGGGAGGCAAACAGAGCACAGGATAAAATGATGGACTGCATGGGCCTGACTCTCAGATGGTGGAAGCTCAGAGACACAGAAGCCCAAGTAAGGTGGCATCAAGTTTTGGGGCTCAGAGAATGTAGCACCTGGCTGCTCTGGAAATTAGAGAAGCAGAGAAGGTGGCAGAAGCTTCTAAATAAAAGAACAGTAGGTTCAGAGGGTAGCAGGGAGCCTAGCTTGGCCAGGGTCTCAGTGGGGGCAATGGGAGATCATCAGAAGAAAATGGTCAGGCTGAGGAGGCATCCAATGAGGGGCAAAGGGTGGGGGTTCAGATTTGATACCATGTAGGCTAGAGAATTCTCAGCTTTTCTATGAAAAAATCCCCTAAGACTAGTAAGAGAGAATATAGTCTGGAAAA